GAGAAGAAGGGGTGATGGACATTGATCTGCAGAATCCCCTTTCCCAGGCATTTCCATGTTCTTGTCCTTGAACCACTTTTCTTGGGGTGCTGCAATGGGGAACCGTGCAGGGGCCCCCAAGTGACCCAAGTGCCATCATGCCTTCTCTCACCCCTGAGCCAGTCTTCCCATCTTCTGTGGCGTGTCCACTACTGACCACAGTGGTGTTTGAAGTTTAATTTGGAAACATACAACCCTTGTGCTTAGGAAACAGAAAAGTACTGTATACATCAAACACTTGGAAAGCACTTTAATATTGGAAACTGCATATATAGTCCGGCCCTGATGAAAGATTGCCCTTGGGAAAGTCATAATCTCAAATGTTCTTAGGGAATAGTCCTCCTGTTCAACTCCCTAAAGCAGTGCATAACTGCAGATGTGGTGTAGAAATGGTCCTTTTGACAATTCACTCACAAATACTTATCATACACAAGCCAGTATTTCTCTAAATGAGGTGTCTGATGTCCACTTTGGAACTTATAAGCTGGAATTCGTGGTACCGTCCTGCTCTTGGTATTTCTTGGTGCTAGCCAGTGACTATTAACACTTCTGAATTCACTTTCTCACCTGACACATGTGAATTGCTGTAGAATCAAATTGGGTGTGTAGAGTGTAAAATGAAAAGCGCTCTGCAAAGTTGGAATTCTCAGGGGAACAAAAGGTTTTATGTGTAATCACCACAATATACCTTCTGAGATGATTCTAAAAAATGAAAAGTATAATAAAATGCCTCCTTTGGTATCAGAAAGTTGAAGAATGTTGCTAGGAACTTCCCAGCTAATAATAGTGCTGCTGTGAGCGTTAATAACAGACAGTGATATTTACTAGTAACCATCTTTTACACGGGTCTGCTTCCTAAATTTCACCAGTGGCTGTGGAGATTGTTCTGGCTTGTGTTCCCTGCAGTTACTGAGTCACCGATCATCCAGTGGTGACAAGGGAGGGCTGAGGTCTAGCCAATAGGATGTCACAGTGGGAATGTGTGTGGAAGGGCACAAGCCAGTAAGCTCTAACTTCTAAAGATGACTTCTTGGGGGATGACGTAAGGCAGCATGCAGGAGGACACAGGCCTGCCCTGTCCAGGGGGTGTTTCTGGCGCCAGAATGGGAACCTGCAGGCATTCAGCCTTTCCTCTGTTCCCTGCTTTGCTGAGTCCGGGTTACAGGGGCTCCACTCCTCACATGTGCAACTTAGAAAACTCAGCCTGCGTCGGGGCAGGGGAGAGAGGCGTAGTGTAGCCAGACTGCTTCACACAGCTGCACCTGGCCCCATCATGAATCCCCAGGAGACGGTGCCACCAGGCACAGCGGCTCTGGAGGAGTTCACAGCTTCCTTTTTCTTTTAAGGAGAACAAGGCCTCTTGTCTGCCATCCTCGGGAGGCTGAGAGGAGAGAAGTTTACATTTATATCTGAGCTGAATCTCCCTGCTGTTCTCTCGTCCTCCTGCTCAGAGGAGAACAGCAAGAGATTATAACCTCACTGTCAACCCCCACACTGCAGTCTTCTGTGTGCCCACGCTCAAAGGGGCTTAGTTTGTGTTTGGCCCGTTAATATTCTATTGCAGTGGAGAAAAATTTCTACCCAAGTGTTCCTCTGAATTCTTTCCAATGTTTTGCTCTACCCTCCTTCTCCTATAAAAGGACGGGAACGCCTCCATACTTAACACGCCCTGCAGAAAAGAATCTGCTCTTAAAAAAGGAATATCTGTATGACCAGTTTTTCTTTTTAATGAATTACAAAGAAAGACAAAAGTGATTTTAATTTTCTGGAATATGCCTAAAGACGTACACCTTGTAGAAAGAGGACAAGAATTGGATAACTACTGGGTGCTAATTTCTTTGCCAAGTATAATTTCCACAGTAGAATATCAGAAGTTATATTTGTTATTCAAAAAACAATTTTGTAAATAAATTTTGAAGTATCCTAAGAAGATTAAATTGATTATAATTAATTAAAATATTTAATTAAACATTTAGTAAGATAAAATTACTTAATGAAATTAATTAATTACATTGCCTGTCTCCTTCAAAAATCACATTTCCATTTTTCATTTCTTCAGTATCTGTTTACCATAGGCAATACCTAACAGCATCTAGTAAAATGTTTATATATTATAAAATTGCCCAATTTCACAAATATTCTTTTACGTATCTGTCACGGTACTAGATGTCGTCTTTACTTTCCTGACTCAGTGCGTCAGCCCTGAGGGTGAAGTAGCGGAGCCTCTCGTTGTTCATATAAGGAAACAGCAGCTCAGATTGTCCGTGTCCTGCCCAAGGGAAGGTCACACAGCTCCTGAAACATTAGACTCAAGCCAGAGCTGGGACCATCGGGCCCCAAGGCCCAAGTTGTGTGTTTGGTTTGCTGTGCTGCCCCTGGCAGGGAGGGTGCCTACTCACTGGTCAGATTTCAGGGGGACTCGGCTTGACTGCTTTTCCATGTGGGCACCTGGGTCGGGGCAACAGGTTGACAGCTGGGCAGGCGAGGTCAGGGCTCCGGACGGCTGCTCAGGGCTCCTTGCCATTAGCGGCTGCTTCATTCGGTCTGCCCTCAGCCTGGGTCAAACAGACGCAGAGGAGGATTCGTGCCATTTCCCTAAAGCTTTCTAGAGGAATCTCCATTCTCCTCTCGTTTTTGAGAATATCCTGGGACTGCAGGTCTCTGATAAAGCACCTGCCTGCACTGACCACAGCACCCATGTGCAGTGACTCTGAATGAACACAGAGTGTTTCTGTGGAAAGTTATTTTATAAGAACAGTATTTTTAAAATTTTATTTTAGTCACGTTTAAGCTCAAAAATTTTTAAAAATTTGTTTTAATGTTAGCATTTGTTGGCATAGCCATTTAATAAATAGGATGACAAAATTATGCAAATGGAATAAAGCCAACTCATTGAATTGGTGGTGGCCACAGGAACGTGGAGTGCAAGACCACCTGTTACTGCTCAAGCTTTTCCTTTTTGCCTCTTGGGCGTACTGACATTTCATATTGTGAGTTAGCCTTTGCTGAGCTTTGAAGACTCTGGGCAGGTTGAGGTAGGAGCTCGTGTATGACTCAGGAAGGCTGGAGGGCTGACTTCAACCTGGGGGCCTCCTGATGTGCACCTGGCTCTGTCCAGTAATTGCATCACATGACCTGTAAAGTGGGAAAAGGTCTCCATAGGGAGGCATGGGATAGGGCAGCCTAGGGCAGCCTAGAGCAGCCACTCACTTAATCCCCACCTGGTGGAAATATCAATAGAACCTGCCACTTGCAGGGAAACTAGAGTATGGTGAAGAGCTCATCTCACTGTTTCAGAAAGAAAAGAATGACCACAGGACTCTGGCTTTAATTGTCACGTCATTTTCCTCCCAGGAATCTTTGGCTTCCAGGTGGTAACTGATTGTAGCTCTTCTAAATCTAAGAGATGGAAGGGTTGGCAGTATGGTGATGGGAAGACCTTTGACATTGACTTTTAAAGTCATTTTAAGGATTGTGTGCTGATTGAATCTGTGGGTCAGCTCATTTTCTCTGTAAAGAACCAGGTAGAAAATATTTTAAGCTTCTCAAGTAGATGGTCTCTGTTCCAATGACCCAACTCTTCCTGGTAGCAATGGAACAGCCGCAGACCATAATGATGGGTGTATGTGGGGTCAGGAATGCTGACGGATTCCTCTGCTAAAGATATGCAGATTGTCTATCAGATTCAGAAAGTTTATTACTTAGTGAAAGAAAGAGCAGAAGAGGTGTCAGCTCCCCATATCCTCTGTCCCATAAGATGATGCTAAAACAGAAAGGGCCAGATGGCAAAGCAGCAGAGGGACAGGAGGGCCAGGCTGCTGTGCTGCTGGAGCTGACCCGGCCCTGTAGCCCAGCAGTTTGGAGCTACAGCTACACCTGAGTGGGGTGAAGGTGGGGCAGAGCCTCAGACTCCATCAGAACCTGGGGAGCAATGAGCAGCTCTTTCAGGACAACCTCCCAGGGACATAGGGAGGTGGGAGATATGGCCTGTACTGCCCCTTGAAATCCTGCCAGGTTCCAAGATGGGGAGGGCCACAGGGTGTTCTGCCAAAGCTTAGGTCAGCAGTAGCAAAGCTGAAAGCCTGCCCTGCGGCCTCTGTGAAGTCCTGCACAGGCTCTAGGGCAAACACCCCCAGCTCTGTATTTCAGTGGCCTTTTCAGGTGGCAGCCTGGATTTAGCCAGTTGGCAGTAGTTTGCTGACTCTCATACCTTTTGAATGAATGAATGTCCTTTAAATATACACTAATTTATAAAATAGCTATTAAATTTATTAAGTTACATCAATTAACTCTATACCCTAATGTTTTCTGAATATCATACAGTGTTCTACTCTTTGGATCTTTATTC